CTTCTATAGATTAATATTAAAGCATTTTTTCATTGTGTGAAAAGATTTTTATTTGTAAACTAAAGTCTTCCTCCATTAAATAAAATATGCTCCGTATCTCAATAACTTCACGTTGCCTACACCACAGAGCTAACGGCATTATGTGTATGGACATAAAATATCACCTTTTATTCATTCAGTTTCAGTCAAATTGGCTGATTCAAAATCGCAAGAAAAAAAACAGTTGATTTGGAAAGAGTGTACATTATCAGGCTTCTGAAGTGTGAGTCTTTAAAAAGACATTCTGTATCTATAAGGAACTACTGGGGTTGTTCATTAGCCCATAAACACTGGCACATCATAAACTGTCTATGGGATACTGAGCAATCTTCATGGACCGCACTTGCCGAAGGGTGTGAAAGGTGGGGTCCCAGCTGTACTCTGGGGAGAGAAGCTTGGTGGGCTTGTTGAGGAAGAAATATTTGTTGAGGTATTTCTCGTAGGTGCTGTTGAGTCCGTTTTCCGCATCCAGAACAACCCCTTTCATGTATTCCTGAGTCAAGTCTAGAACCCGGAGGGGCATGCCCCCTACAATGGTGCCAGCGTAGTAGAAGTCCCCCAGCCCAAAGGGAATGTAGGCTGCTGACATAGGTCTCCTCTCATAAGGAAGATCCCCTGTCTTCCGGAAATACCACCAAGCATGGAGCTGGGCAACAGACATGCTCAGGGTCTCCACTCCAAACTCGCTCTGGAAGACCAGGTTCGCGCTCATGCTGAAGAGGAAGTCCACCTCGTGTCGGATGTGGTCTTGGATGTGCTCACCTAGCAGCTTCATGCGCATGAGGTCGAAGTTGTTCCACCATCTCTCCTCACCTATGAGGTGGATTTGAAAGGAGTGCCGAGGGTCGTAGTCCATTTCAGGTAGCTGCAGGAACCTATCCACCATGACGTAGAAGATCACCTTATAGCCAGGCATGAAGAACTTACTGGCTGATCGCAAGAATGGGTCCAGGTACTGGTCAGTGAGACTGGGAACACACAGAACAAGAAATTATGTTTCTAAATGGAGTGGGTGCACCCACTAACAAGAATGTGCACACCACTAACAAGAGAAGCGTCCTTGATACTGAGAACTCCGGTAGGTCAGGGTAGAGATCTGTTGGGTCTGAAAATCCACCAAGCTAGTTAGTAAGCCCATAGTTCTGACGACGGCCATGGAATTTTAGAACTACTGAGTCAGAGCTAAGTGGGGCCTTGCTTAAAACTCTTGAGTGGCCTTATGGACCTAGCCCTGGTACAGGGACTCATCGTAGCACATTCTGTTTGGTATGCTCAGCAGTAGTGATCACAAAAGGCGACTTATAGCTCTTTGGGGGCAAAACATCTATGGCTACTGAACCACATATCCCAAGGTAAAGAGGCAGCGCTCCACAGCATTTACCTGCCAACTGCAAACACAACCAAGCCCACGGTGATGTTCTGCTTTCTGTAATATTTCCCAAGGGCCTCTCTGTCGAAGGTGCCTTCCCATATGACTGGAGCCAGCCAGTCCGTGGTGGTGATGACGTCCACACGCATCCTATGGGACACACACAAAAGCAGAAGTAAAATCTGACAGCACGGTTCAACAGTCAGAAACTGACACAAGTCACCATGTCAAAGCCAAAGAACAGGCACGCGTTGGGTGTCATTGCATGGTGACAGTGATGGGCACCCAATGCCAGGTGTTAGCTAACCCTGAGATGGCACCACCGACAAGGGACCAATCAGATGTGGTAAACTCGGGTTCACTCACGTGACCCTGGCAATGCCTTTCCTCGGGTGAGTGCGAGTTTTCTTCTTGTTCTTCACGTGGGCACACAGCGAGCAAGTGGCTGAGCTGGCAGAGCCACAGCGCCCCCAGAGAGTCTGGCCTCAGACTTGGCATTCTCCTCTGAAGCCTGGGATTATTTATCTTGAGAGCTAGTTACAACTTAACCAATTAAAACATAGTAGACAACCCAGAGCCCTGCCATCGTCTTGGTTTTGCCTGAAGGCGGCACTGTAGGCAGGATCCCGGCTCCAGCGCCTGACTTCCTTGCTCCTTTTCTCGCTCTGTGTACCCTGTGGTGTTCTAAACACATGGCTCAAGCCGTCTGTGTCATCCAACAAGAGTGAGATAGATTAGACTTGCATTAAGTACTGAGAAAATAGAAGGATTAGGACATGACAAGAAGGTGAGGCAATTACAAAATTAACGTAAGTCACTACATCAGAAGCTAAAGAAAAGTCACATGCCTAAATCCCTCAACACAAGATAAACATTATGGAGTCTAACACCTATTCATGATCTTTAAAAAAAAACTTCCACAAAAGGATGGGAATGGGGAGAAATGCCTAATATGGAATTTTTTTTAAAAAAAAATCTACTTGTCCTATGAATGTGGTGGTGTACATTTTTAATTTTGGGAGGCAGGGAAAAGTGGATCTCTATGAGTTTGAGGGCAGCTTTGTCTACAATATAGCATGCTTCCAGGCTAGTCAAGACTACAAAGTGAGACCCTGTTTTAAAAAAAATCTATAAATGACCTACAGCTAACATATTAAATAGTGAAAGACTGGCTTCTTCTCCCTAAGATCAAGAACATGACAAGGATGTTCCTCACATTGCTCTTTAACATAATGGCAGAAACCATGGCCATTGAAGTAAGGCAAGAAAAGGAAATTAAGGCATCAAATTGGAAATGAGAAAAACAATGCCGACCATAATACATCATCAGTACTTAATCATCTACCTGCAAAATTCTAAGAAGAAAAATCATCTAGAATTCATAAGTAAATTAGAGAGCGTAGATTTTACCAGATTAGTTCCACACATTAAGTCCGTGTCTACAACACTAATGATGTAGAAACACAAAACGTGCTTGCTGAGATCCAAGTTCAGTTCCTAGCATCCACGTCAGGCTGCTCACCACCTCCTGCAACTCCAGCTCCCTCTTTGGCCTCTACAACATCTGCATTCATATGAACGTACATCTTCCCGGGGTATGTGTGTATGTGTACATATAATTTTAGATATGTATTTAAAATACAATATTGTTAATAGTGCTCCCAATTAAAATGAAACATTGTGGCATATCACTCTACAAAGAGCAGCTACTACCTCCTTGCCACCTCTGGCAGTGTCTAACATCTGCCCCTGTATATTGCCTAATGTGAAATATTACTGAAAGCTATCCCACCTGATCATTAGACTGCATCTTGTTTGCTCATCTGTCCGTGGAGGGACAATGAGTTAATTTACCTCCTAGATACACCGGGGATGATGCTCCCACGGAAACTCATAGATGAATTTTCTATGAGCATGTTTTAATTCTTTTGGGAATGGGTCTCTAGACCCAACTCCGCCTCTAGGTGGAATCACTGTCCTGTCACAATTCTCTAACTAGCTAACAAGTAGTTTTGCAATGCCGCAATTAAACCTGGCAGTTCAAATTCCTCTACATCCGAATGCCCTTCATTGTCTAGCTTTGTCTGCCCATCCTTCCCATGTTGTTGGAAGTGAAGTGGCTTGATTTGCATTTCCCAATGATTAATGTTGCTAAAGTAGATTCTGTATCTTTCTTGGGTATAAATATATCTTCCTTAGCCAGGTGGTGGTGGTGCACGCCTTTAAACCAAGCACTCAGGAGGCAGAGGCAGGTGGATCTCTGTGAGTTTGAGGCCAACCTGGTCTACAAGAGCTAGTTCCAGGACGGCTCCAAAGCTACAGAGAAACTGTGTCTCAAAAAAACAAAAAAAAATTATGATAAAAAACCCCCAATTATCTAAAAGGTGTTTGCATCACAACTGTGGAGGCACAGACTGAATTGAGAGAGTTTAGCAAGAGAGTCTGCTTCACCAAGAACAAAAGAGCCAATAAGACGTTATGCACTGTAAATAAGAAAACAAAATTGTACAGTTATTAAAGGGAACCAGCGATTTTACACATTTTAAATGCCGTGGCGTCCAATCCAAAGACTCTTGTTTTAGAAATTTGTCCTGTGGATAAACACATATCGGTGTGCAAATTCCATTCAATGTCCCTCACCTTGCTTATGAATGGTCATCTGAGAAGCAGTACCCAGAGGGAGCTGGTTAGCAAACTTCTGTAGCACAGAGCATGTGACACACGCAATATCTCAGAGAACTGTTGATAACATGCTTGCCAACCACCAATCATGACCTGAGTTCAATTCCCAACGTTCACATTAAAAAGGGGAAAAAAAAATCAATGGATGTAGGACCAGCAGGATGCCTCGAAGGGTAAAGGTGCTTTCTGTAAAACCTGATGACCTGAGTTTGATCCCCAGGTGAAAGAAGAGACCTGGCCGCTGCAAGCTGTCCTCCGACCTCTACATGCACACCACAGCACGTGTGCACACATGCACAAACACACACACAGATAAACAACAGCACAACAGTGATAGGTATGGTGTCACTGGCCTAGAAATCCTAGCCGCTGGGAGGCTAGCAACAGGTGGATCCCTCAAGCCTGTTGGCCAGCCCATCTAGCCAATCAGAACTCAAGTCTCAGTGAGCAACCCATCTCAAACCAAGGTGGAGGGCGGTCAAGGAAGACGCCTGAACTCTGGCCTCTACAAACACAAAGGAGAAAAGGAACAGAGAGACACACACGGGTGGAGAAGCAGCCAGTTCACCGTGGGAGGTGCCCACGTCAGTCCTGGGCCCGAGTTCGTGGCTAACCTTCCCGCTTCTGCCAGGGCCAGAGACTGCTAGGAAGGTCAGTAGTTGCCTTTTTCTGTTGCTTCCAGATGAACCTGAGGGAAACCTGGGCAAGCCTCAGACCCACCTGCTTCTCACAAGCCTCAGCTCCTGTTTGCTGAGGTTAAGCCACTAGGGATGGAGTGGTAGACATGTTGTCAAGGTGATACAGTAGCTCACACGTGTTCAGATACCAGCCACCTCATGGCCTTACCAACCCTTCCCCACCATCAGCTACAAGCACCCAGGAACCCCGGGCAGAAAAGGAAGATTTCAGACTGGCTCTCCAGCTCCACACACCAGTATCTAGTGAACACACCCTTGCTCTTCGAAACACCCCTCTCAGGCACGGCTGCCCCCGAGGAGCAGGGGCAAGAAGCTGCCTCATACCTCCTTCTCTGAAGAAACAGGAAGGTTAACCGTGAACGCAGGCCAAGGCACCAGCTTCCTCCAGGGCACTAGGACTTCCTGTCTTGAGGAAGCTCCCCTGGCCTCGTGTCAGAATGGTGGAAACAAACTCCTAATTCCAGGTGCCCTGGCAGAACTATGCTCGTGATGAAGCTGTCGCCTCTGAGCGATGCGTGTCTTTGCTCTTACCTGGGGTTAAACCAGTCTGAGCGCCGAAGTTCATCTTCCTGGAGGTTCCTGGCACAAAGAGCAGTAGGTTACTGCGGCATCTGTTTGCCCAGCCCTCATCGGCCGAACCCACAGCAGGCTGGGCTGCCCTCTCTCCTCCGTCCTCACTGCCTAGCCTCGGCTTTCAGGGGCTTTGGGACAGGGACAGGGCAGTGTTAAAGCTCTAGGGACACAGTCTGGGGCCAAGAAAGCAGCTGGGAGAGGAGGTATCTCCTGGTCTGGAAGGGGACAAGCTGGCCTAGGGAACAGATGGCAGGAATTGGGGGAGAGGTCACAAACAGCAGGAGAATGAAGAAAAGGGTACCTTGGTGGGAGGAGGAAAATGTTACTAGAGATTATAAACTCAAAAAAAAAAGTTATTTCCATGATGTAAAGAGGTCAGGAGGAGTCTATGTATTCACGTTTGATTCCCAACCCCTTTTCTGTGAGACAGGGTCTTACTATGCAGCCCTGGCTGGCCTGGAACTCACTCTGCAGACCAGGATGGCCTTGAACTCGCAGAGATCCACCTGCCTCTGCCTCCAGAGTGCTGGCATTAAAGGCGTGTCCACTACCCTCAGCTACCTTGAGGCTTTGAAGTGCAGGTGTTTTAGCTTCCTATGAGGTGGCTGCAGACAAGCACACTGCAGTGGAGATCCCAGCCATTTGAAGAGCAGTTTCACCTTATGCCAGTGACTTAACCCAGCCCACCTTCAATGACCTCAGGACAGCCAGATGCCTACAACTGAGCAAAGTCACCCACACTCAGCCTGCCACGTTAGAAAGTAAGAAAGGATTCAAGAGTTTCCTGTATCTGGACCAACAGTGGAAAAAAAAAAAGGTGAGTCAGGGGCAAAACTCTCTGTTTTAGTTGGGGTTTTACGAGTCTGGAGAGACACCATGACCGCCGCAACTCTTATGAAGAAGAATATGTAACTGGGACTGGCTTACAGTTCAGAGGTTTCGTCCATTATTGTCAGGGCAGGGAGTATGGCGGCATCCAGGCAGACATGGCGCTGGAGAGGTAGCTGAGAGTTCTATATTGGGATCCACAGGCAGCAGGAAGTGACTGAGCCAGTGGCCTGGCTTGAGCATCTGAGACCTCAAAGCTGCCCCCTAGTGAGGCCCCTCCTCCAAAAAAGCCACTCCCTATGGGCCTCTGGGGCTATTTGCATGCAAACCACCACACTCTCACTAACTATTAGTTTAACCACCTGCCTGATGGCTTCCAGTGTGCAACCTGGGGTGTTCTATGTCAGAGCTGACCTCCGGAGCTCTCCTGCTCTGATGTGTTCTGACGTGGCCTTGCACAGATACCCCACCACCAAATCGACGGCCTCCCAGGACAGACTGTCAAAATTCCATGGCACAAGATGACAAATGGGGAGTTTACCAAAAACCATCAAGTTGGTGTTGCTGGAGCAATGGCTCAGTGGTTAAGAGTACTTGGTCATCTAGACCTGAGTTTAGTTACCAGAACCCGTGTCAAGTGGTTCACAATTGTCTGTGACTCCAGCGCATCCATGACACATGCACACACCCACATGCAATCCTACACACATGCACTTAGCTAAAGATAATTTTTTAAAAATTAAGAAAAAAATCCACTGTGTTACAGTGTGTTAATCTTGTTAATTTCTAGATTTAGGGCAGAAATTGTGGCAGGCTAAAGAGTGGCCTGGCCTAAAGAAAGAACCCGATCCCCACAGAGACACTCCAGTTGTGAATGCCAGGCCCTTGTCTTGGGGAGGCCCACTTGTGCTAAGCTAATGAGCCAGCGATGATCCTGAGCTTCTGGTCTGTCAGTTCCTTCTCGGCAGGGGTGCTCCAACCAAAAACTTTACACAGCCCAGTTTCTTTAGATCCAGCCAGGACTGCATTTTCAGTTTATTACACGCCAACAAAACCACACCCGATCCTATTGACCCTGTAGGTGGGCTCTCTGATCTGGAGAAACCAGGGGCTGGGAACCACATGGGCTAGACTAAAACCACCCTCAAATGGATAAACCTCTCCTCCTTGATCCCCAAGTTCCCTCCGGGAGGTATTGTCCCTGTTTAAAAAAGACAACCTGCTGGGAGGTTTTTCCTCATATGGTCCTATCCCAAGAGACCCCCCAGTAAATACTACCACCTCAAGTGCTGTCTCTTCAGAAACCTGTAACACACACACACGCACACGCACTGGTATACCCATACACACATAAGTGCATGTTTACACATAGATTCACATACATACTACATACCTACTGACCCACATCGGGAGACTGGTTTCTTTTTCTGTCTCCAGCCCCTGTCACCATCAGACCCTCTGCCCCTGACAGTTTCACCCTCCGGTTTACAGAATGGTCACACAGTGAAGAATGGCACCCTGAGAGAGCGCCTCTCCTGAGGAGAGGGTTTGCCAGAGAAAATACAAGACACCACAGAATGTGAGCTTGAGAAACACAGCGGATGAAGGCTGGAGAGGCGGCTACTCTTCCTGAGGACCCAGGCCCCATTCCCAGCACCCGCTCCGGTTCCAGGGGACCTGAGGCCCTCTTCTCACCTCTGCTGGGACCAGGCACACATGTGATATACAAATGTGCACATGGGCAAAACACATAAAATAAAACTAAATAAAAGATAAGCAGTGATATGTTAAATGTCTACATTTCTGTTATTTTATGCAATGGAGGTCTGTGAGCATGATCTGCAGTCTATCAGGTGTGACTGTCCAGCTGCTGTTTCTGTCCCTAAATACATCAGCTCTGCCAGTACACATGTAGTAAATATAGAAATACAGCAACCTGATTCAAAATAAAACTGGCAAAGAAATCAAATGCCCATTTTATCCTAAAAGATGTACAGACAGAGGCCAAACATACTTGAGGGCTGGGAGAGGATTAATTTTTTAAAGTATTCTTTCATGATAGGACTGTCTTCCTTCCTTCCTTTCTTTTTTCTTTTCTTTCTTTCTTTCTTTTTTTTGAGACAGGCTCTTGTCAGGTGGTGGTGGCACTCACCTTTAGTCTCAGCATTCAGGAAGCAGAAGCAAGCAGATCTCTATGAGGGCAGCCTGGTCTACAGAGCTACTTCTAGGACAGTCAAGGCTACACAAAGAAACCCTGTCTCAATATGGGGCAGGGAGAAAGAGAGAGAGAGATTTACTATGCATCCCTGACTAGCCTGGAACTTTCTGTGTAGTCCAGGCTAGCCTCCAACTCACAGAGGTCCACCTGCCTTTGCCTCTGGAGTTCTGGGACCAAAGGTGTGCACCTCTGTTCTTAGCTATGACTGCTTTTCCTGTGGTGCTCAGAAACTTACAGATCCAGGAAGAGGCATAGAGGAGGGAGGAGTTAAAGTTGCTGGGGAGAGATATAGGCAGGTTAACAGATATTACCCTAGCAGGTCGATTTTCGTCTTGTTTATATAAGACACAAATTTACCACCTTTAATCACAGCACCTGGGATGTAGAGGCAGGTGGATCTCCGTGAGTTTGAGGCCAGCCTGGTCTACAAAATGAGTTCCAGGACAATCAGAGATGTTACACAGAGAAACACTGTCTCAAAAACAAACAAACAAAAAAATAAAACAAAACCAACCTCCCCAAAGACACAAATCTGGAACTTTGAGGTGGTTTATAATTGATGTAATTATAGCTCAGGTCTGGCCCAGTGGCTGAGCACTTACCTGGAAATGCTCCAGGTCCTGGTTCTATCCCCAGTACCACAAAACCAGTAATAACTGAGCACTCTCCTCCACCCAACTCCATTTTCATGACATTGTCACGTAACATATGAAATTCCACAGTGTATGAAATACCCCTGTGGGCAGGTCTGCTGTTTGCCAGCATCCAGAGTGGAGCCTGGGACGAGAAGCTCAACAAATGCCCATCTGGCGTCTGAAAATGAAAGAATTAAAATGTGCACGGTGTCCCCCAGAGAAGAAGTAACTTCTGGTTCACTCATGTGTTGATGGCATTTTTAAGGGATGAGAGTAACCCCCTTGGCCTTCCTGCAGGCTGTGGTTCATCAGTATTTACCTGAAGACGACCTTAGCCATCAGCAACAGGAAGAGGCAGAAAAGCAACATTAGCAGTCTCTTCTTAGTTTTCATTCCTTCCTGGAGGAGGGGAGGAAAAGAAGGTTCTAAGTGTGGGTTAAACGGACCCACTGCATCCCAACACCCCCAGTGGTGGGTTAGTGTCGGCACACATTTGGACACTAACTCAACAGTTCCTCCTAGAATAGTCAGTGAGAGGGATCGAGGTCATCTCTATTCTGCTTGACAGGCCTTTGGAGTGATCCTCAAAGATCTGAAACGTGCTGACTTGCCTTGTGTTCCCTGGAGAAGCCAGTCGATCTGTGCATGTGTGTGCGTGCGTGCGTGCGTGCGTGCGTGTGTGTGTGTGTGTGTGTGTATGTATGTGTGTGTTCGTGCGTGTGTGTGCTCATGTGTGTGTGCATACACATGTATGTGTTGCGTGTGTGTGTGTGTGTGCATGCATGCGTGTGCACATGTGTGTGTTGTTGCTGTGCACAGAGACTATGTTGGGTGTCTTCAGTTGCTCCCCACCTTACTTCTTGAGGCAGGATTTCTCTGAACCTGAGCTTCTCATTTCACCTACACCGGCTAGCCAGAAAGCTCTGGAATCCACCTGTTTCAGGCCCCTGAGCGTTAGGACTTCGGCCGTGTGCCACATCCCGCTTTCACACGAGTACCAGGAATTAAGCTCAGGTTCTCACGCTTGTGCAGCAACCACTGGCTCTCCGTCCTACAAGTCCATCTTATTCCCGTGAAATATCGTGTGTTTGTGGCAACGGTGTGGGATCGCGACAATGAGGTCTTCTGAAACCAACAAATTCGGCCCTCCAAGTTGGCTTTGTCATTTCTTCCCTCACAGGCATGGTGAGACAGACGACCTGGGGCCATTTACGCAGAGACCGTAAGGAGGGTCAGTGGCCACATTATGGGCAGGAGGCTCTAAGCTGAATCTGAGCTCCAGGTGGCATGGCACCTAGGTTGGAGGTTTCACCTGGGTCTGCTTGAACACTGTGTCCAGCGTGCTGACGGCAGCGTGCCAGCATGTGGTAGACTCATTCAGTAAGCTCCTGAGGCAGGGGTTGGGGGAGGGTGGGTCTGGCCCTGAGTTCAACTGAGCTCTGAGTGCACAGAACACACCAGCTTTGCGAGGCAAGTCCATCATGAGAACACAGAAGGCTAAGGGTCGCCTTTGTCATCTTCCATTGCTTGTTCACTGATGTGATGACAGTCTGGGTTTGTAGTCCAGATGTAGAAACTCATGAAACAAATGCATAAAATAAATTCACCTATCTCTTTTGCCCTTTGTCACATGGCTGCTGGGAAATGGGACATCACAGGTGGCTCACATCCTGACTCTACTGGGCGATTCTTCATGAGACGTTACCCTGCTCAGAAATACCCTCGCAGTTTGAAGATCGATATCTTTAAGTTCACTACTATTGGGAATACATGGACAAGCGAGCTGTGGTCCATCCAGCTAGCCACTCTGTCCCCAGCTGCTTCCTAGTGATCTCTTGAGGCATCGGCAACAAGTTCAGAGGCCAGGGTCAGAGGAGGCTGCCTACACGCAATATTTTGTTTTGTTTTGTTTTGTTTTGTTTACTGAAACAGGATCTCATTCTGTTGCCCAGACTGGCCTTGAACTCACAACAATCTTCCTATCTCAGCCTCCCAAATGCTGAGATGTGCACCAAGTCCAGCTCCCAGGCACGACTATCCAAAGTCTCAACACCCACTCCTTCAAAGGCCCCTTACCTTGGATCAGGGTGGTGTTAGAAGACAGCCGAAATGCCCTTTGAGGACCAGTGTTTCCCAGGGAGTATATCTCTAGGACTTGGCTGCGTGAAGTACCTGATTGCATCCACTGCTTTTGTGGTGTGTGGATCTTCAGTTAATGGTGATGTCATCAGCATCACAATGGCACCCGGCTGGTTCTCTTCATGACCAGTCAACATGACTTGGTCCCGGTGAAAACATGAAAGGATTTCTTAGACTATTCTGCGGCTTTTGCTTCTTCTGCTGTGGCCTTTCTTCTAAGGACAGATACCTCCTGGTAGAGAGGGTTCGGGGTGGCATGTGTGCTGTGTGTCTTGTATGACAGAGAGGTGCCCTCCCCGTCCTTCTGGAGACACTATTGATGAATCTAAAGAGTGAAGCCCTTCTTACACTTTCTCAGACTCTTGTTTGTGTGTTCTTTGCCTGCTGATAGAAGCACGGGGTTTCATTTTAGACACCATACGAACCCACTATCACCAGACAGCTCTGTGTGATTATAACATAACTCTGTATTTATTTGTTTGTTCGTTCTACCCTTGAAAAGTAAGGAAACCCAGTGCAGTAGTTTGAATGTAATTGGCCTCCACAAGCTCACAGGGAGTGGCACTATTTGGAGGTGTGGCTTTGTTAGAATAGGTAAGGCCTTGTTAGAGAAAGTGTGTCACTGAGGGAGGGCGGGCTTTGAAGTCGCCTTTGTTCCAGATACTGCCCAGTGCCATACTAGTTCCTATAGCATTCTGGATCAAGATGTAGCCAGTACCACTCCTGCCTGCGTGCCGCCATGCTCCCCACCATGACGATAATGGACTGAACCTCTGAAATTGTAAGCAAGCCACCCCAATTAACTGCTTTCCTTATAAGGGTTGCCATGGTCATGGTGTCTCTTCACAGCAATGGAAATCCTAACTAAGACACCCAAAGTGTGACTTAAGGAGTTTAAACACATCCTTAGGCTCCAGTCAGAATCCAAAAGAAAAAGATGAGAAGAAAAGCTGGATGGTGGTAGTGCCTGCCTTTAGTTCCAGCACTTAAGAGACAGAGGCAAGCAGATCTCCGTGAGTTCGAAGCCAGCCTGATCTATAGCGCTAGTTCCAGGACAGCCAGGACTACACAGTCTCGGAGAAAAAAATATTTACACCCTCCTGAGTCAGCACTCAGAATGGTAGGTCATTCCTAGCAGGAAAGAATTCTGGGAAGGAAAGGTACTATATTCTAGGGTGGCCCACATTCCTGGGGTGGTCCCCTGAGCCAGGTCCCTGACCTGCCCACTAAATCAAACCTGGATGGAGGAAGCCAGAGCGTGTCTCCACCTAGAGGTGGATTCCTTTCTTCACAATTGAGTCTGTTGTGTCTGAAGCCAGCAAACAGGTGAACTCTGGTGCCCAACTCCATCCTCAGGAAGGTGGGCACTTCCATGCCAGTGTCTGACCCTCACTGCCTCATGTAATCCACCATCTCCTCTCCCTTTCCTCCACCTGGACACTCTTCTAGCACAGACGGCTGAGGCGCACACCTTCCTACACAGGAGGCTCTCCCTACGGCAATGGCTAAGCTCCATTACCCAGCTGCTTTCCACAGTCAGCAGCGCTGATGCCATATTGTCAGAGTCCCCGTCAATTTCGGCTTACTGTTATCTGCTGCGCAAAGAACGTGTTCACCAAACTCAGCCTGGAATTTAGTCCCCAAGGCAATCAGTGTATTCTAAGGGTAGAAACAATCCAGCTGTGGGCTCATAGGGGTCTTAGTGTGTGTGTGTGTGTGTGGGGGGGGTGATCAGATTAGCTTATTCATTAGGGTGCAGCTCCATGGCTCAATCCTGGGGGCCTTTTAGTTGTTTCTCGGCTGTGACTCTGTGTTGACCAGGCTGGCGTCAAACTTGTTGTGTAACAGAGAATTGTAAGGAGCCGTCCGGATATCGCCATTACAATATGGCGCAGGTGGTCCTGCAGCTTGGGGGTAAACAAATCCTTGTTTGATGTTGCCACGTGAGGCTGAGCACCCTTTGCCTACATTTGCATAACTGAGCCTTGTCCCTGGCCAATCTCGAGGCCCCGGACACCAGCAGAGTGGTATTCACCAATCAGGACAGTATCCGAGTCCCTCCACCCTAGAAAAGCAGCTGCCACTTGGGCTTCTCTCTCTTTCGCTTCCCGCTCTCCCTTCAACCAAGAGGCTCCAATAAAGTGTGATGTGAGAAGAATCCTCGATTCGTGGTCGTTCTTCCTTGCTGGTCAAGGGGCGCGCCACAGAGAATGACTTTGAACTTCTGATTCTCCTGTGCCTACATCCCGAGCGCTGAGATTACAGGATTTTCCGCAACCCTACCTCCCCATACACACCATGTAGATGGGATAGGACCCAGGCAAGCACTCTACCAACTGAGCCACGCCCCAGACTCCCAATGACTTTCTTTGTTTTGCTTCAAGTTTGTCATTTTAAGTTGCCTCAGTTGAACTCAAACTCCTAAATGTAAAAAATTCTCCCACTTTGTTGTTTTTTAGGTTTTTGGTTTTTTTCGAGACAAGGTTTCTCTATAGCTTTGGTGCCTGTCGTAGAATTAGCTCTTATAGACCAGGCTGGCCTTGAACCCACGGAGATCTGCCTGCCTCTGCCTCCCGAGTGCTGGGATTAAAGGCGTGTGCCACCACCGCCCTGCAGTTCTCCCACTTTAATCTCCCGAATAGCTGGAATAATAATCAAAACACTGTCCCCAGTCTAGAATGAAAACACACACCTCTATTATTATTATTATTCTCTCATAATGCATCCCAATTGCTGCAGCCTCCCCTTCCTCCATTCCTCCTAGTTACTCCCCCCCCCACCTCCCCTCTCCCTCAGATCTTCAGAAAAGAGGAGACCTCCCAGGGATATCAACAGAGCTTGGCAAGATGCAATAATACTAGACACAAACCCTCATATCAGTAGGAGGTAACTCAGTAGGAGGAAAAGATCCCCAAGAGCAGGCCAAAGAGTCAGAGACATTCCCACTCCCACTGGCAGGAGTCCCACAAGAAAACACAAGCTAAACAACCAGAATGTGTACGCAGAGGACCTGGCATAGATTCCGTTGTTGCCGCTTCCGTCTCTGTGAGTCCCTATGAGCCCTGCTTAGTTAATTTTGTGGGTTGTGTTCTCTTGGTGTCTTCAACCCTTCTGGCTACTATAATCCTTCCTTCCCCTCTTCTCCAGGATTCCTGGCTTCCACCTAATGTTTGGTTACGGGTCTCTGCATCTGCTCCCATCAGCTTCTGGAGAATACCTCTCTGATGACAACTGGACTAGGCACCAATCTATGACACAGCAGAATATCATTAGGAATCATTTCATTGATTTGTTTTGCCAGTCATGTTTGGCTCTGCCCTAGGTCTCTGAGTCATCCAGCTTCTGGTGCCTGGCTTTCCAGGTAGTGTTGGGCATGGGCTCCCTCTTGTGGCATGGGCCTCAAGTTAGACAAGTCATTGGATGGCCACTGCCACAAGTTCTGAGCCACCATTGCACCAGCACATCCTGCTGGCAGGATAGGTTGTAGGTCGAAAGCTTTGTGTCTGGGTTGATGCGCTGATCCCAATGCTGGACGTCTTGCCTGATTACAGAAGATGGCTTGTCCAGGCTTCTTATCCTCCACATCCTAGGAGTCCTCGCTAGGGTGACCCTCATAGGTTCTGGGGAGTTTCTACCGCATGCACTAGGTTTCCACATCACCCCCCAAGTCTCCCTCCCTTGCCTGATCCCGCTTGTTCCCACCTATCCCAAGTCCACCCACATAATCTCTTTCCCCTTGCTAGAGGGATCCCTGTGTCCCCCTCCACCACAGCCCTCCTGGTTACTTGGCCTCTCTGGGTCTGTGGATTGTAGCACGATTATCCTTTACTTAACAGACAATGTCCACTTATAAGTGGGTACATACCATGTTTATCTTTCTGGGTCTGAGTTTCCTCACTTAGGATGCTTTTTCCTAGTTCCATCCATTTATTTGTTTGTAAATTTCATACTATCAATTTTTTAAACAGCGAGTAATGTTCCATTGTGTAAATGTACCACATTTTCTTTATCCATTCTTCAACTGAGGGGCATCTAGGTTGTTTCCCATTTCTAGCTATTATGAATAAAGCGGCTATGAACGTAGTTGAGCAAGGGTCCTTGTGGTCTTACGGCATGTCTTTTGGATATATGCCCAAGAGTAGTATAGCTGGGTCTTCAATTTTCTGAGGAGCCGCCATATTGATTTCCAAACTGGCTGTACTCCCACCAGCAATGGAGGAGTGTTCCCGTGCTCCACACTCTTGCCACCATTAGCTGTCATTAGTGTGGTTGATCTTAGTCATTCTGACAGATGTAAGATGGACTTTCAAAGTAGTTTTGATTTGCTTTGCCCTGAGGGCTAAGAATGTTAAATATTTCAAGTGTTTCTCAACCATTTGAGAGTCCTCTATTGAGAATTCTCTGTTTAGATCTGTACCCCGTTTTTAAATTGGACTATTTGGTTTGTGATGTCTAGTTTCTTGAGTTCTTTTATATTTTTAAATTAGCTCTCTATCAGACGTGAAGTTAGGGAAAATCTTTTTTCATTCTGTAGGCTGACGTTTTGTCCTACTAACTGTGTCCTTTGCCTTACAGAAGCTTTTCAGTTTGCCGTTTATTAATGCTGATCTCAGTGCCTGTGCTGTTGGTGTTCTGCTTAGGGAGTTGTCTCCTGTGTTCAGGCTATCCCCACTCACTCTTCTATCAGGTTCAGTGTCTGGTCTTATGCTGAGGTCTTTGATCCATTTGAACTTGAGTTTTATGCCGAGTGATAAATATGGATCTTTTCGTATTCTTCTACATGGAGACATCCAGTCAGATCAGCACCATAAATTGAAGATGCTTTCTTTTTTCCATTGTGTATTTCCAGCTTCTTTATCAAAAATCAGGCGTCCATAGGTGTGTGGATTTATGTCTGGGTCTTTGACTCAATTCCATTGATCAACAGGCCTGTTTTTATGCCAATACCATGCGGATTTTATTGCTCCCGCTCTGGAGCACAGCTGGAAATCAGGGATGGTGACCCCCTGGACGTCTTTTATTCTTCAGGATTGCTTTAGCTATCCTGGGTTTTTTTCTTTTTCCATATGAATT